CTCTCTCTTTACCAACTCTTTTGTCACTATGGGTTTTGCTATCCAACAACAATGTTTACTCCGTCCTTATCTCAACTGTGGTGCCTATTTAAAAAGTATGATTCAAGACAAGCAGATTTGGTAACAAATAATCGAGACATGTCGATCAAATTTTTTTAAGTTTTTGCTTTTGTTTATGTTGGTTTGTAAGAGCTAATTTGGCTCGTTTAAGTGTTTTGTAGTTTGTAATAGTTGTTTTGCTATCGGTAAAAAAATAAAAAATAAATAAAGATAGTTCTTGTTATTCATCCTTCCATGGCTCTAATCAAAATATTTTCACTAGTAATTCCATAGATTATCATTTCCCACATACATCAAAATGTATTCTTTAAGAATTGAATAAGAGTTTTAAATGATTATATGAACGGTAAACATTTTTTGTATTGCGCCTTTTTTTTCTTAAATAATTAGCCAACTCATTCTTCTTGTGTCGAGATGTTCTTTCTATGCACAATTCCCAAAGATTTATTTGGAGACCCAACTGAGCATCGAGCGCACTTGTAAAAAATGTGTCAATTTATTAGATGTTTTTATTAAGAAGAAATTTTATGTGTCAATATATTAATTTATTTATGTAAATCATACGAGTATTATATTTTTATATCATTTATTAACTTATGCTTTGTATATGACATATTTATTTATCTATTTATTTGCAAATGATATAATTATTTATATTCTAATATTGCTCATTTTTTATTGTATATGTTAATATTGTCATTATTTAAATGGATAATGATAATCAATTATCCATCCAACGAGCACAAAGAGTGGCAGCGTAATTTTACTTTGGTTGTACTAAAATCCTTCGACATTAATTGTAAAGGCCCTAAACGTTTGCTTATTCATCACTCTTATCCTTAAACTTTGCTTAGTCATTACTCCCAGTCCCCTAAACTTTGCTAGTCCCTGAACTTTTTCTTAGTTGGCAGTAGACACACTAAACTTTGCTGATTCAGTAGTTCCTTCACCGCATCATTTGAAAGGCGAGGGACCAAATGTGCAACTAATAGCAAAGTTGAGGGAATGTATTTAGCTTATCTCTCTTAAGATGGATCAAGAAACTTATTTGTTGTCATGTTTCCTTAAAATTTACATCATTTCTATTTAGTTGACGCGTTTAATTTAGACACATATATTAAGGAGAGGAGAGAGAGTGAGAGAGAATGAAAAAGCAAGTGGGGTACCTTGTAAATTCAAGGTAAAAAATTTACCCCAAAAGGAAACGTGTCAACTAAAAAAAACTTTCTAAAAAAGAATACGCGTCAACTAAAAAGAAACGAAGGTAGTACTCTATAGTAGTATAGTACATCTTGCTACAACTTGATTTGTATTTGAATTCATTTAAGGATAAATTTGTTAATTACTACCTCAAAAAAGGGGTCATTGTGAATTACTACCCCTAAAAAAATAGTTGTTAGTTACTACTCGTAAAACTGATTAATTCTAGTGATTGCTACCCTTTTTCTTAATCTGCCCCAAATTAGGTCATTAAATCTATTAATGATATCATTATCCGAGTAAATTATAATTATTTTCTTTTAAACCTTAAATAATTAATTAAACCCTAGAACCACCTCCACACCACCATTGCACCACCTCCGGGCACCCTCCACCCATTACTGAACCTACCTCCTCCAACTCCCCACCATGACAACACCCCTTTCTTAGTCCCCACCTTAAAACCACCTCCCTTTCACGATACCCCATTCCCCACCCGCAGGGGCCCTAACCCCTACCCCTCGTCGGAAAACCTAGATCGGCCATCCCCAATATGCCTTTATCACCTTTCCCCCTAAACTCCACCCTAGGGTTTCAATTTTAGGGCTTTAGAGTTTTAATTTTTGAACTTTATAGTGGTGATTATGGAGGGGAAGGTGGTGGAGTAGACTTAGGGAAGGCCTAATAGGGTTCTGTGGCAAGGGAGAGGGGATTAGGGTCGCCGGCGGGTGGGGAGGAGGGATTTTTCGAGGGTGGGAGGGATTGTTAGGGATTTAGAGGTGGTGCAATGGGTGGTTTAGAGGTGGGGTGGATGCTTGGGCGAGGGTAGGCTACCGGAGATGGTGGGGATGGGGTAAGGGGGGTTGTCGGAGATGGTGGGGATGGGGTAAGGGGGCTGTCGGAGGTGGTGGAGTGGTGGTTTAGAGGTGGTATTAGGGTTTATTTAATTAATCATGGCTTAAAAACAACTAATTACAAATTAGTCGGATAAAGATATAATTAAGAGATTAAATCACCTAATCAGGGGCTGATTAGGAAAAGGGTAGCAATCACTAGAATTAATTAGTTTTAGGGGTAGTAATTAGAAACTTTTTTTTAGGGGTAGTAATTCACAAAGACCCCCTTTTGAGGTAGTAATTAACAAATTTTACCATTTAAAGAAATAAACAAAAAAGTAAAACTAGTATATGAAACAATGACAAATGAGTGAATGACTCAATCTATCTTTAAGAATATACTAAATCCCGTACTTTTTTTTGTCAAGTCATTTCAGAATAAATTCATTCACCATAATTTTTTTTTAATAATTTAACATTATATATATATATATATACACATCTTTTATACGGAGTATTAAGAAAAAAAAATAATAGTTAGTGTAATGCAATCTTTTCCTCCTAAAATCAATGAGGCCCTTTTTGGTTGAAGGGGGATTTGGCTAGAAAAGAAAAGAAAGGAAAATGTTTTAATATGTTCCCGTGTTTGGTTTGATAAATGACATGAAAATTTAAAAGGAAAGGAAGGGAAGTGAAAGGAAAACCTCTTTACAAATTTTCAGCTTTCCTTTCCTCCCAAAATTGGAGTAATTCGACTAGAAAGAGAAAATAAAAACATATTTCCATTCTCTTCTCTTCATTGAATTTCATTAACCAAACATTGGAAATAAAATCTCTTTATTTTCCCTTCTTTTCCTTTCTTTTCCCTTCCTTTCCTTTCTCTTCTTTTCCATTACTAACAATGAACCAAACAAAGCCTTAGTTTATTTGTAACCACTTATAGAAAATGAAGCAAATACTTATAAAATACTAAAACAATATTCATATTGACATATTGTATCTCATATATACGGCCGTATATATACAACTTAAAATCTACTATTTAATTATTTTTTGATACTACTTGTTATAAGAGAATAATTTATAAAAAAAAATGGATGATTTATAAATTGTTGTAAATCTTTAATTTGTAAAATATGGTCAAACTGACTTATGGCCTATTAACATTTACTAAATTGAGCTGAATTGAATTGAACTGAACTAAACTGAACAGATTAGAGTTGAACTGAACAGGTTAGAGCTGAACTGAACTGAACTGAATAATAATAATAATAATAATAATAATAATAATAATAATAATAATAATAATAATAATAATAATAATAATCATGGTCATAATAATGATAATAATAATAATAATAATAATAATCGTAATCATAATAATAATAATAATAATAAAATTAATAATCATAATAATAATCATAATAATAATCATAATCATAATAATAATCATAATCATAATAATAATCATAATCATAATCATAATCATAATCATAATCATAATCATAATCATAATAATAATTATAATAATAATAATAATAATCATAATAATAATAATCATAATAATAATCATAATCATAATAATAATCATAATAATAATAATAATAATCATCATAATCATAATCATAATCATAATCATAATCATAATCACTTTTGAGGTAGCTCAGCGCACTTTTGATGGAGCTCTTCGATCTTCCTTGGAGCGTATTGTTACCGCTTCGGGGCCTGGGTTTGCTGATTGGCAGTGACAGCTTGCCACCTTATCATTTGCGTTTGGAGGGCTTGGTGTTTATTCTGAAGGTGATGTTCGTCACTATACTTTTCTTGCTTCTCGGTTGCAGTCTGCTGGGTTCCAGACACAACTTCTTCAGCATGCTGGCATTGTTGGTCTTGGACGAGCCTTTGAGGATGCGTTGTGTCTGTTTAATGGAACAGTGGAGTCTGACATTTTGAGTAATCCTAGTGAGGTCGCTGCCCCTAAACTCATGAAGAAATTGGCAGATATGTATTTCACAAAGATTACCGCTTCTGCAGAATCTGCTTATTCTTTAACTCCTTGACAATCAGCATTATGGAAATCACAGCAGGGTGATCACACCTCTACTTGGCTTCAGGCGGTTCCTATTTCGGGGTTGGGTCAGACGATGAACGCCAAGACTTATCGTTGTGTGTTGTCCTATCGGTTGGGTGTTCTATTGTTCTCTATCTCGACGTCGTGCTCTGCTTGTTCGAGGGTTTTTGCTGGAGATATTTTCGGTGATCACGCGGTGTCTTGTGCTTGTATTGTGGGTATTAAACATCGGCATAATGTTGTTCGGGATACCCTTGTTGATGTTTACTATCGTTCTGGGATTTCAGCGAGAAAGGAGGTTGACATTGGGTTGGCTGGAGGGAACGACGAGACCCTCAGACCTGCAGATGTGTTACTTTATTCATGGGATCGTGGTCGCGATGTCTGTGTTGATTTGATAGGGTCTTCTCCTTTGACACAGTCAGGGCTATCTGACTTTATTCCTGGGCGGGTTGTGGCTGATGCTGCTCATCGGAAGCGGGTTAAGTATGAAGCTCGATGTCAGGCGATTGGATATGGTTTCATTCCCTTCTCCTTTTCTTCGCTTGGGGAATTAGAGAAGGAGGCTTTTGTGTTACAAAAGCGGATTCAGAGGTTCTCGACGACGCAAGACATTGGGGCTCGTGTTGCAGCTCATATTAAGTAATTTTGGCTATGTGGTTAATTTCGTGTTCTGTCCATGGGGGGCTTTTGTATTCTTTTTCTAATATTGATACTTCATATGTAAATTCTTCAATATTTTGCAGGAAAATAATAGGAGTGAGCTTGCTAGACTATATAAAGAAAGCCAGGCAGACTTTTTAAGCATGCTAAAAGGCTTTGTTAATTAGGTACATTCTTCAGCCTCTTTAATCTACTTTTATCCGGGTGTAATTGACAAATATTGTATGACTAGATTTAACCAATCGTATATTAATTGATAGTTGATCAGCTAATCCATACTTTTGAGGCAAACAAGTCTTTACACTACTACAAAATGCGTGGAATCTTGACGCCATAGCCTCGACGCTGGTGGGTTACCGTCAAGGTAAAATGATATATCTCGTGGTTTGGCGACGCTTTTCAGGTCGAACTAAATTCTAGACTTGGAAAAGCATCGAGATTTAGTGATATATCACATGTCTTGCACGTGAGATATTAGATAAGCTGCACACAAATCCAAAGAAAGGGAAGATGATAAACTACCGCTTTCAACACTATTGAAAAATTCCTCATTTCTACCAGATCTACTCTCCACCGCTGCAAATCCGAATTGTGTAATTGGTTTGAAATCTTCTTGCTTGATGATTTGAATATTTGATAGATGTATCAATTTCTTCCATGATTGGCCTATTGTCATACAGATTTCAGGTATTATCTTATTACTCTTTAGATTTCGATTTTAGGGTGTTAATTTCTTACTTTTTTCTTCTGATAAATCTCTCCTAATTTATCATGGATGAAGAAGAGATGAAGAAATGAGTCATGGATTGTGAATTCGTTGTCATGAAGTAGTCAATTCTCACCTTTACATACGAGTATATTCTCTCCTTTAGATTACTATTTTTTAAACTGTTTGAGTATAAATTTCATCGATTTCTAATGATTTAGGTTTGATTTTATTTGTTTCGGAGATTTAAGGTTTGAGAATTTTGTTGTTAATTAATTGATAAATCAATTGGGTAAATATGCTGTCAAGAAAACATTTTTTTTTTTTTTGAAAACAATATTAAAATCTGATTTAGTAGCAAGTTTTTCATTTTAATTTTTATATATTTTGTATAAATTTTGTTCTTTTAGTTTATCTTGTGCAAAATATGTTATATCAGTTATCATATATAGCAATCATTAGGGTGAAGGTTTTGCTATGAAATTGTATATATTTGCTCTTGCATTTGTTTGTTGAAATCAACTATGATTTTTAGGATCAAGTGTATGTATTGATGTTGTGCTTTGCTTGGAACCCGTGATACTGAAAAATTGGAAGAATATGGAGAAAATGGACTTTTGAGAAATGTTAGTTCCCTTCTCGGTGGTTCTATGTGATCAAATGTATATGTACATTTTTCATTTGTATGATGCAGGGTTTTTTCAGCTAATTCACCCACCCGACCCCTTAAATTGAAATAATAAACTTTCTTAGATGGTAGTATCCAGATCTTAAAAAAAAAAACACACAACATAACTGATGTCTTGTTGTGTGGCTGTTCTGCTGAGTAAGGTTGTTACTTGTTAATAATTGTTTGATAACTCAAGTTTTTTTTTTTTTATTATCAAACACTTGTTATTTTTGAGAAATCAGACCATTAGTTTCAAGAGTGAGAAGTAAAGCCTCTTGGTTATGTTGGATGCCTTTTTATGGGAGCCTGTAATTGATTATATCCAGTTGTTTCAGTGGTTTGGAATTTTTTGTTGATAGGTTGCCATAGTTGGGAGTTTTTTTGCTCCAATTTATACTCGTGATAAACTATCAAGTGTTTGAAATTCAAATTAGAGTTTGCTGCTGTTTGGAAGACTTTGTGTAAAAAAAATTTAGTGTTCTGTTTTAGAGGTCTATGCTTAAAAGAGAAACCCACAATATGTATTTTGATCAAGATATTACTAATCAATATAACTTTTTTTTCCTACTTTTTTAAGGGTGAGATTTTTTTTGAGTGTGTTTTGTTCTAACTAATCAAGCGAAGACATTTAAGTTAAGCCGTAACATTTGCTCTGTTGTATCTTTGACATGAATTTCAGAAATTTTGTATAGTTAATGCGTGCTCTGATTGTACCTATTGGTTGGCATGCAGGCAGCAACTTATTGGTCACAATCTAAACTTCGCCATACGGCCTCTTGCAACAAGACTATGGAGCAGCAAAATTAAAGGTTGATTGACGGTTTTTTGTGAAGCATGTCATAGAGCAGATTTATTCCACTACAAGTCACAACTAAATCATAAGTTGGATTTATATTTGTTATAATAGAAAACTCCATACTATGAGATATTGTACAAATACTATAATATATTTGTATGCAATAAAAAAAATTTGGCCTAATTTTGTTGGATATCTATTTTTTTTTTAAATTTTTGTAATAGTAGTATTTTTCAGTGTGAGTTTTGTTTTTTTGGTAAAATATTTTAGATTTTTTATATAAAACACGGAAAAGAAAAAGCGTTCCCTACATATTAAATACCAAATATATGATATTCAAGACATAAAAAAGCGTCTCCAATTTTACAAATCCAGACACAAAAAAGCGCCGCTAAAGTTGAAAAAGTGCGCAAACATATACAAATTTCGACGCTTCGTATACAAAATAGGACACAATTAATCGTCGAAATTTGTGACGCTTTTTGATGTCCCATGATTTTCTCGACTCACGTTTTTTCGACGCTTTTTAGCGTCGCAAAAAAGCTTTAAAAGCGTCGTAAAAACGCGGATTATAGTAGTGTTGTAGGTTGTATGACTTTTGTTTTTGAGATATAATAATAATAATAATAATAATAATAATAATAATAATCATAATAATCATAATAATAATAATAATAATAATAATAATAATGTAGGCGTCGTTTGAAGTGCGCCTACGTTAAAAGCATGTTGTGAATATGCTTGGCACTCATAGGAAGTAGGAATTGACATAATACGATTAGGGACAAGGAAAGTAGGGAGCCGCCAACAAGTTTTTAAGGAACTTGTAAGCCGTTCACGGATCATAAAAAGGCAACCACGATAAGGGACAACGATAGGCAACAACGATTGACCCGTGAAGGTTACACCCCATTCATAATCCATGAGATTACTAACTCCATATGGTTCGGAACCACGAAAGGAGGATCGGGGATGATGGTACGAAGTGAGTCATGGAGTCACATTCGCCCGTATTGGTCTCTACTCGATTCTTATATTGAAAAGCATTCTTGTGATCTCAAAGGCATACAAACAATAATTCAATTCGCTCCAAACTATTATTTAACTAAATTGGTTTAATATTAATGCACACATAATTCTAAAATATTGGTGATCACTTCAATTAATAATAAGATTAAAAGGACCCTAAACCGGTGTCCAAATTATCTTATTAGGCATGATTTTCAATTACATATTCCCTTTAAACATACAATACGGTGATCAATAATAGAATAACATTAATATTAAAACCAAATTAATCACAATTCCAACAACATAAAATCGTTAGAAAAATAATAAAAATAAAAGGAGCATGATCCGTACTTTAATTATGTTTGTTTGCAACTACAAAATAATAAACGAGTTAGTAACTTCAAGGAAATAATAAAACGATGATTAAATTAAATTAAATAAAGTAAAGTTGATTTTGGGGCCAAACCCTCAAACAATTCTACCTTTCACGCCTTGGCTTAAGGATAGAACCATGAGTAAAGTATGGACTCCTTTGAGTACTTGAAGAAAGAATTTTGAAGTAGAAAAGGGTAGGCTAGTGTTTAGGCTTAAGCATAGAAGAGAGAAAATAAAATAATCGAATTACTCGGTGCCCCGTTCATCAGAAATAAGGGGGTATTTATAGGGAAAATGTGATGAGGGAGCACACGGAACCCTAAAATGATAAAAACCCTAAAAAAGTATCCCGTGACATGGTCAAACTGTACCGTGACACGGGAAGCTCCACCGTCAGACGGTACACTTTCCCGTGACACGGTACATTTTTGGTGTGACGCGGGAAATTTTCAGAAAACGGGATAAAAAACGCGTTAAGGATTTACGCGGAAAAGACACGGAATGTCTCGTGTCACGGCATACCTCCCGTGTCACGGGAAATCCCACCGTCAGACGGGAAGGATTCCCGTGACACGGTGGGTACCTGCCGTGGCGCGGGAAATTCCAGCCTGTTTTTCCGTCTAAATACATTTTTAACCCTAATTTCCTTTGGCATTTTAAGTGCCGATTGATAATTTCGGGCCTTTTCTGACTTTTTATTATTCAGGCTAAAATAAGAAAATAATTAAATAAAAATAAATAAAGGGTTTGGGCCAAAAATAAATAATAAAACAATAAAATAAAAAGGCTTGGGCTAAAAATTAATTAATAAGTTTGGGCTGAAATTAAAACTATGTTTTTACCAAACATCAAGACTAATCCGTGGACTGTTCAAAAAAATGAATTTAATAAAATACGATTTTTTAAGCACTCTCGGGATTAAATACTAAACCCGACCAATAGTGGCGGTGAAAGGTTGTTCATCATCGGATTTGGTTTTTGGGAGACATTTTTAGATGTCTACAAATAATAATAATAATAATAATAATAATAATAATAATAATAATAATAATCTCTACCAAAGTTAATAATCCTCAGCAAATCTGATTATTACTACGGAAAATAATGATATCAAATTTCATATAGCATATTCAGATTGGCATACAAAAATATACTAAGATTCATATTATTTACTCGAATGACAATAAGGTAATCTTCAGTAAGGGACATTTTCCCCAAATTCAAGCAAAAATGAATACACGTAAAGCCAGATTAGAAAAATTGCCCTAACACGAAAGAGTTCTAAAAAAGCTTGAATTTAATGACAGCGAGGAAGCCGATCCAACTCAGGGGCTACAATAGAAGCTGCACCTACTAGTGCAGATATACTTGATTTCTTAATCTCAGATACAATGATTTTGAGTTTAGATATCTCTGAACCAGCCATCGATAATATCATAGCATGCGAAAAGTATTGCCTGCAGGAGAAACCAAGAGCATGTAGCACTCGCTGCACCAATAAGTTAGAAATTCCCTGCTGCCAGGACTCGAGGATAGCACCAACCTTGGGAAGATTGGTGAGGAAATTAGTAGTGCCTTCTCTTGGAGCCACCCTTAGCAGCAAGACCACACATTCAGATGCTATATCAGCAATATTTGGATCATGAGACCTACTCAATTCCAGTAACACACCAACAATGCCGCCAAAATCAGCAATATCTCTTATGTACTGCTGCTGATCTATAGGAATGCTGGCCTCAGCAGAGAAATCCGACAGAAGAGTTGGTTCTTCGGAATAAGTGGACCCTTTTGTATTATATACCGAACGCAAAAGGAAAGCCCTACATAAGCCAAGAGTTGGTTCCATAAAATCATCCATTTCTCTTGCACTCACAAACTCCAGAAGGTTACCAATTACGCGAACCACTTTAAGTTGAGAGAGGATTTTTGTTTCTAATTCTGGAGCAGATGCCAGTGCCAGACAGAGCTTTACATTGTTCACGTTTGCACTTGCTAGATCCCCAAGAAGGAATTCAAAGCACCGCTGGACTGTCTTCATGTGTAAGATGTCTGATATCTTGATGTGATCAAACTCGATAAGCATCAGAAGCAGCTTTTGAGCATATACTGGAATGGGGTCCTCATCCTCAACAAACATGGGATAGAGAGGCAAGAAATGCATTAAGGATATGGACTTCAATTCCTCATATTGCTGTTCATCTTTTGATTGTTCCTCCAAGAAAATGACCATCACATCAAACAAAATCTTTAAGCACAAAAATCTTGCATCACCATCCTTGTTCCCTTTGTAAATAACAGATAAGCTTGGGAGAATTTCACGGATAAAAACATTAGGCCATTTAAGGACATGAGACTGGTCTTCCACAATGGACTCAAGAACTCGGAGGAGTGTTATTTGAAAGTCATCCCTTCCCTGTCAGAGTCAAACATAGTATACACATAAAGAAGCACATAAGGCAAGAAATCTTAATGCCATATAACTAAAGCTTTCAAGGATGGAAGATATACATCTGCAAAATCATCATGTAATAGATTTAACATTATTAGTACTTGTGCATCAAATGGAAAGGTTCATGGGGTATATAGACCCTTAGTAAAATGCATGATAAAGTGGACCACTTTATAGTAGATAAATGGATCCATATAAAATCACAATTGTGTTAGGCTATTTGTCATAACAGATGTATTTATCAACCCAAATGTATCCACCTTTAACAAACAACAAAACACTTTATGTTGTATGGAATTTCATTGTGCACTTAATTACTTAAATACTCCCTCTTTCGCAAAATAATTTTTTCCATCTTCTTTTTCATGTCTTTAATTAGCTTTTATACATGTAGTTTGCAAAAGGTCGCAATAATAAAGCATCTCTTTTCCCAATACTTATATGTTAGGGTCTCACATCCTCTCAATTCATTTACTAGTATAAATTACCCAACAACCATCTATCAAAACTACTTCTTTACCTAGTCTCAATGGACAGTTGAAATCCAAACAATAACTGTTTACCTGAAATATGCGTCATAACTGACGTCAAGTTTCAAAATAAATATGGGATGGAGGGAGTAATATGTGATTCATACGTTCTTACTTCAAATGACTATTAAGACATAAACTATGTATAATTCTATATATTGAATGTTCCAGACAAAATAAAAAAATAATGACTTTGGTGAACCAGAATAATTCTATATATTGGTCAAATTTCATCATAAGAGACAGCGAAGGCCTGCTTACCTGAAATGGAGACTCCACATGCTTGACCAAGGTTGCCAAGTGCTGCAGGACCTGATCACAGACAACTCTGCGTTTAAAGGACGAACATCCTAGAAGATGAAGGACAACTGGAAACAAATGAATATTTGTTTTTGGCGTAGCTCGAGCAGCAACATGACCGTGGCGTCTACCCCCCATAAGTTGCTGAATGTCATTGCTAATTGTATCCAGCAAACCTGGCATTGTACCACCCACAGTATGCAAAAACACATCCAGACACTGATGAATGTAACCATCCTTTTCTTTACTGAGACGGTCCACTGTGGAGAGAAATTTTGCATTGCAAAAAAAATGAGGCAACCACCGTCTAGAAGACTTACAAAGCAAGGCCACAAATACAAGAGCTTTTCCTCTTAAGACATCATTACCCTGCTCTATGAGAGAAACTAGACTTGGAACCAGATTCTTATCCTCTACTAAAGGCATAAGGTAACGGCCTATATTAGTAAACATATGACTACAAATCATGGCCATGTTTAATAGGTTCAGACTTATTTGTTGCTCACGTTGACTGCCTTTTACAAGAGCAGCTGCAATGTCCTTGAATGAGAGCTTTTCAATTACTGATTGAATACTGGGGGGATTAAACCTAACCAAGCGCACTAAACATGAGCCAGCAGTTAATCTCGCACTTTCTTGTTTGCCTACAGCTCTGAATATGTAGCAAAGATTACTAATAACATCTTGACTGGTAAAACGAGCTACCCATTGTGCTCCTTGGCTACAGATATTTTCCACAGTTCTTAATGCATACACTTGGGTTACATCATCCTCCCCCTTGCGCCACATTGAGACAACATGGGAAATCAATGCATTTGGAACCTGTTCAGCCATTTGGAAAAAAATTACAAATTAATAAAAATAAAGACAAAGTATCAAACTACGTGTGATTCATAAAGTAAAGAAATCAATAAAGCCCAAGAGCATCAAGAAGAGATGGAGTAAGTTTTATTACCTGCCACCCAGTTGCAGAGCGGCCGTCCTTATGCTGATTTTCCGTACCTCTGTCTTTAGTCTGATCAATTTGAGTGGATATGTAGAACAGCAATTCACCCAAAGCAGCCATTGAGTATCTCCTCACCTTTTCTTGTCTGTCACTAAGGCTATCAATTAATGAGCTGATTAATCCAGAATTGGCCAACTCGTCTTGAATGTATGTAGAATGTCGAATCAACAGCCCAATAAGAGAAACTAGCTGGATTCTGAAAGATGAAGCTTTAGAATGTCTTAGGAGTTTGATAAGAACCAGCATTACAGGTCCATTTGTAATCATGTTAGCAACTTCAGCATTGTTGCTTAATGTCTCAAGGTAGCGGATTGTATTCTGCTTCTCTCCAAAATTGGCATTCCCATTAAAAATGGTTACAATCTTATTGGTGAAAGCGTCAAATTGGTCTTTAGATATCTTCTCAAACACAGAAGCTGGCAGTGCATCAAATGGAAGAGAAGGAATCGTTTCAGATACTTTAGTAGCTTTTCTGCTGGGCATAACAGGTCTGACTGAAAGATCAGATGGATGCCAAAACACATCAGAAAGCTCATTTGAAGCTGTTGGAGATTCAGATTCCGTTGCAGGCACCACAGCTACCTTACCCCTTGGATTTTTAGACTGAGGGCTGGCACTGGGTGGTGTAGCCGATATGGTGTGATCTGAAGAAGGTTCCTCGAGTGTTCTGATATCATTACTTACATTAGATACATAAGACTCCTCTTCAATTCCCTGATTCTGATCTGAAGTTGAATTGTTTCCTTCGGGAGTAGAAGAAAAGTTATCAGATGCGTCAGGCTCATCTTGAGTCTCTTCATCATCATTCTCATTAAAGTCAAGTTCCATATCAGTGTTCTCTATTTTGATCTCAGCATCATTCTGTACATTATTAGCCAAAGGTCTCCGATAATTTTCCTTCTCATTCTCTTTTTGTAGATTCGATTTAGCTATTCTTGAAAGACGGAGAATATTCACACCCCTTGCACTTGAAGGATTGGTTTCCTTATCATCCGCTACCCTTCCACTCTTCGTTTGAATTTTGCGACCACTGGTGGTACCTTTAACAGGCGTTCCAATGCCTCTAGACCCTGTATTACTGTTCTCATCTTGTTTGGAGCATCCTTTGATTTCTTTCTCATGAGATTTTGGGGGAGTTCTTCCATGGGGATGTCTTTCACCATTGCGTTCCGTGAGATATGGTCTAGGTGTAATCCCAATCATGTTATCAAATGCTGGCTGAGGAGGCAAGGGAACCAAGGAAATTTTTGTTCCCCAAAATGCATGTCCACAAAGCTCTGTCCATTGTATCCTTTCTGCTGGATCTTTCACCAATAGAGAATTCACCAGATTGACAAAAGGACGGCTGGGGTCACCTGGAAGAGGTGGAGTTGGATCTGAGAGTATAGATTTTGCTAGTTGGGTAAATTCTCTTCCCACAAAGGGAGGCCTCCCAGCATAGCATTCATACAAGACACAACCAAGAGCCCAAAGGTCAGATGCATAAGAGTGCACACCCCCATCTTGAAAAAGCTCTGGAGCCATGTAAAAAGGTGTTCCACGCTTCGCTTGTGGTAGCTGAAAAAGCACCAATAGATAAATAACCCGTAACTGATTATTAAAGTAGATGAACAATTACAATGTCAACTCTTCTTGGAAAAGCAGAAAACGAACCGAGGATGAAGGAGTTTTTGATATATCACTTAACTTTCTGGCCAATCCAAAATCACAGAGCTGCATGACAAATAACAAGAAGGAACAAATAATCAGTATGATAAAAGCAATTACATTAATGTGTTCTCTAGAAAACTTGTCTTCAATTACCTTTGTATGGCCATTCTCATCTAACAGAATATTGGATGGTTTCAAGTCACAGTAGATGATTCCTTTTGAATGTAAGTACCTGCAGTGTAGCCGTAATCAAAAGTCATTCCAACCAACTAAATATCTTTATAATGTATAAGAGAAATATAAAATGCAACAGTTCAAAACAAAGTATACTGCGTTTCTTACAGCAAAGCTTTGATAATGTCAGTGGCTAGGTCGTGTATTGAATCTTCTGGAAGATGCTCATCCTGAAAACTCCAACATCAGATCAAAAGAGATACATCAAAACTAACTGAATAGCACACAATTTCACTATATTACGCCATTCCTCACAGCCTCTCAAAAAATAAAACTTTTTTTTCTTTTAACAATCAAGAATACAAAAAAAAAAAAAAAAAAAAAAAAAAAAAAAAAAAAAAAAAAACATTGTTATTCAACCCATCTGCCCAAAATAGATGTCTGAAGTGCAATCATTAAATTGTAACAATTCCAACAAGGTTATTTTAGAGTAACAACTAATTTTGTTTACATATTTGAGAAAAACAAACCTGTCGCAGTAAGCTCATAAGGTCTGCTCCGACACAATATTCTAATACTAACCATAAGTGAGCTGAAGTTTCATACCTATTCACAGTGCAGAGAATTAATCAGTTGAAGTAAACATGATACTTATATTTGCTTACTTTGTGACAGTAAATATGGAATATAAGAGTTATACTCAAATATTAGTAGTAAAAAAGGCACAGGATTGTCGTACCATGAATAAAATTTCAGCACATTTTGGTGATCTAGAGCATGAAGGATCTTGACCTACAATAGCAACAACATAAAATCTTTACATAACATGAAAATAGTTATGTCAAGAAGCAGATTAAACAAAATAATAGGTATTCTTCTTTCATTGTTGTATTATAAATTATAATCATATCCCACATGTGACTTTAGTGGTTAATACTAAATACTCACTATATTTGGCAACATATTCGTCAAAAACTTGTACAAATTCATGATGGGATGATAATAATAATTCTAGCTTTAATCTACACTGCTCGTAGAATTTGTCAACAAAAATTTACAATATGAATGAATAATAGAAATTGAAGGGCATAGTTTGACAATAAAATTTGAATCTTACTTCCCCCGGTTTCCTTAGATGAAGCAATTCTAAGGTTACAATATTCACACTATATACAATAGTGATTCATAGTCAGTCATGTGATGACATGTTAAAATTCGTCTTAATTTATACTTTTTAAATTAGAATCTTGTAAAATTATAAGTTAAATAGTAACTAAAGGTATTAATAATTGAACATTGACAAGCACGAAAAATTAAGTGTTTCATCAAAATAAATACATAGGAAGTATTATTCTAGCAAAGGGAGATCCAGTCAAAAATTTCGAAACTTAGGTATAATTCAAACTCTTAAACACTTGAATCTTAACCTCATATATTTATCAAATTATATTTTGATCTCACGAAACATTTTTTCTAGATCCGCCACTAAACAAATGCAGCACTACTCCACCAATGTCTCTCGATTGCATACGATACCGATCTTACGGAACAAGAAAATTAACATCCTGACAGCATTTGGAAAATTATTAACTTATTTAAAAGCTCAAATTATAACAAATAAACATCAACTTATACAAAAAAAAATACCCAGAAATATGACTCAAACAAACTTACTTCTTGAAGAACCTTGCTCTTTTGAGATTTATCAACGCTTTTAATAGCAAAATACTCGATCGTCTTCTTCTTCCTTCCTTTATAAACAGCCTAAACAAAAACAACAAAATTCCAGAATCATCAAAAACTAACCAAACACTTAAAATTCAATCAACTAGAAATGCAATTAGGGCTTAATTTTGAAATTGGAAACACATTTCAAAATGAAATAGTGATGCACTTTCTGATTATCAATTTCAAATTTTTTTTTAAAAATGAAAATAAAAGGCAAAGATGTAAGATTGTAGAAATTACCGAGTGTTTTCCATGGCCAATAGCTTCGTAAACGTGGTATTGATTCATTTTGGAGAGTATTAGAGGAATTTTACAAGGGATTGATTACAGACTGAAAGAGTGTGAGGAGAGAGAGAGAAAGAGGGAAAGGCTGTTTTGGAATTCAAAAAAGAGGAGAATTGAAATGGTAAGAGGCTATTCTCAACGGTAGTGTTTTGTGTGAGTGTGTCACAAAACTTTTTTTTTTCTTTTTTAACTTTTGTGTGTGTTTTTTTCGAGAGCCACATAACAAAAGCAAGTGTAAAGTGTTAGATAATGAGAATAGACATGGATCTCTAAAGTCATGTTATTTAGAGCTGCTAATCTCCTATGCTATGTTCAATTAAAATCTGCTCTATTTTGCTCTGTCCCTACTCTGCTCTGCTGAGATCTACTCTACTTTGCTCTGCCCCGTGCTTTACTAAAAAATAATAATTAATAATAATTATAATTAAAATTTAATAAATATAAAATAATTAATATTTATTATTAATAACTAATATTTATACATAATAACAATTAATATTTTAAAATAATAGCAATAAGAACTAATATAGAATATTAATTGATAATAACAACTAATATTTAATGGTAATAATTAATACTTCCTTAGTTTTTTTTAATTGACATGTTTCTTTAGTCACGTTTGTCAATGCATTTATTCAACCATTAATATCTTTAATTATCGATAAGTAAAAATTAGGAAAAAGTTGATATTTTGAAATTATATAAAGTGACGAATCTAACAAGATCCCACATGATTATATTTTTCATTACATATAAAACACAAAATACGGTTAAAGGGAGGTGTGTGAATAATGCTAAATTCAAAACGTGTCAACTAAATAAAAACGGAGGTAGTATTTTATATTATTTAACACATATTCTAATGTTATAAAAAGTGTAAAAATTCTATAAATAATAAATAATAATGGGATAAAAATAATAATAATAATAACAATAACAACAACAACAACAACAACAACAACAACAATAACAACAACAACAACAACAACAACAACGTGGTCTCGTGTGCTGGTATGGTGGATATTGAACATCGACATAATGTTGCTCGGGATACTCTTGCTGATGTTTGTTATCGATCTAGGATTTCAGCTAGAAAGCTAGGAAGTTGACATTGGATTGTCTAAAGGGAACAATGGGACCCTCAGACCTACAGATGTGTTACTTTATTCCTGGAATTGTGGCCGTGATGTTTGTGTTGACTTGACAGGGTCTTCTCCTTTGACACAGTCTGGATTGTCTGAATTTGTGATTAGACGGGTTGTACCTGATGCGGCTCATCGGAAGCGGGTTAAGTATGAATCCAGTTGTTGAGCAATTGGATATAACTTCCTTCCTTTCTCCTTTTCTTCACTTGGGGAATTAGAAAAGGAGGCAATCACATTGCTAAAGCGGATGCAGCGGTTCTCGAAGACACGAGACATTGGGGCACGTGCTGCTGCTCATATCTTCACTAAGATAGGATTTTATATAGCTCGAGGAGTAGGGACCCAGATTGTATCTCAACTTCCCATTATTTTTTTTAGATTGTATAAAATTATCTGTTTTTGAGATATAATAATAATAATAATAATAATAATAATAATAATAATAATAATAATAATAATAATAATAATAATAATAATAATAATTGTTCCAGGTATATATGGATCCAAGGGTTCTACTGGTATGGATTGGGGCATGCCGACAACTTGCGCAAGGTAGCACACGTAAACTGCCCTTGGGGGTGGCTCGAGGAACCCCCATCCAAAGCTTAAGTTAGAATGTGTTTAGAGAGAGAAAGTGCACTTAGAAAGATAGAGAAAGTGTAATAACTTGTGTGTCTAACCTCTTTTCCGTTGTACTTTATCCTTTATTTATAGTTGTACGATCTCCTTTATGGGGAATCTTATTTGGTCAGCCTGCGGGCGGATTTTATCGGGTTAATGAGCCCCTCTAACTGTTCTTCCATCGATGAGTGCGCACCCTTGGAGCCAGATGATAATTTAGCAGGAGCTATTCTATACAACTAGCCCCTCAAGAGGTGGTGTGAGGTCACTCATGCCGGCTCTTGTTTGCGCGTTGAAGCTTTTCTAACTGAGCCCAATTGGAAGGGATAGCTCAGCAGGAGCTATCCCCTACAACTAGCCCCTCAAGAGGTGGTATGAGGTCGTTCATGCCAAGTATTCTGAGTGTGTAGCCTTATCATTTGTTGCTCAACGAGTCTTCTGGCCAAATTACCCCATACGCCCCTATCCCCTCAAGCTTCTAGATTGGCGATGCGATTCTGAGGCTTGGGAGTCAAGCTATAATTTGGAGATGACGTGATTATGCTACTACTCGTCGATGGTGGCTCTTTTCTACCTGTAATGTGTATGCCTTTTGTGACATAACAGGACTGCAAAAAGGAATGTCGATCACTCCTGCTAAAATCTTAGAAATAATTAATTTGTAGGGAAGAATTTTTATCACTCCCACTAAAGTCTGTGAAATGACGAGCTTGCAGGGAGGAATTTCGATCACTTCCGCTGAAGTCTGAGAAATTACGAGCTTGCAAGGAGGAATTTCGATCACTTCCGCTGAAGTCTGAGAAATTACGAGCTTGCAAGGAGGAATTTCGATCACTCCCACTGAAGTCTGAGAAATGACGAGCTTGGAGGGAGGAATTTTGATCACTCCCGCTGAAGTCTGAAGAATGACGAGCTTGTAGGGAGGAATTTCGATCACTCTTGCTTAAGTTTGAGAAATGACGAGCTTGCGAGGAGGAATTTCGATCACTCCCGCTGAAATATGAGGAATGACGAGCTTGTAGGGAGGAATTTTGGTTCTTTTTTTTTTGCGAGAACGATGTCTTGCATGAGTGGGACACGTGTCAATCACTTAAGTGGTCAGTTCATTTTTACTGAAGTGACATGGTAGTTTGGCTTTATTTTTACTCAACCACCAATTTACTCCATATTTAATTCATTGCCCCCCCCTTTCTTTTCTTTTTACCTTCTTCATTTTTTCATCTTCCCCTTTCTTTTTTCAAATTTCTTGCTCTTCATCTTCTCCAAGACGCGAGTCGTTCCTCCATTACCATTGTAAGTTTTCGTCTTCCTCGTCTACACACTTGCTTCATTTTTGTTTTCTTGTTCATTTGTTTGCTCGTTTTCTTTTATTCTTCAGTTTTACTAAATTTTCCTGCTTTATGGTTGCAGTTTTAAACCTTGTTCTCTGTTTGGTTTCTTGGGTCGCCATTGTTGTTGTACTTTGTTGCTTCTGCAACCTCTCGTCACAAAGGTACTAACTTTGTACCTTACCCATATGTTTAAGCTTAATTTTGTTTCCTTTTGTGTTTCCCTTCGCAAAATTGCGTCTTTTGATCGATTCTGATTGTCTCTATCCAATTCGCCCCCTTCTATTATTGTATTTGTATTCTCAATTTTTCTTCCTATTCTTGTGTTTCTTTCTTGCACTTGCTCCTTTGAGAATAAATTGATTTTTTTTATTTTTGGCACCCCAACTTCTCTTCTTTGGGGGGCTTTCTTTTTCTTTGTAGATCTTAGAATGTGTGATGCTTCTGACAGTCAGAATATGAGTGAGCCTAGCGCGGCCACTGAGTTAGACTCTTCTTCTTCTGAGTCTTCCCGTTCAGGTGAGCGCTCTGCTACTTCTTCTAATTCTTCCCCCCTTCCTATACAAATGGTTATGCCTTTTGACCGTCCCCATGCTGCGGGTAGTGTGGGTACTGCCACGACTTCTTCTGCCATGCCTAAGCTGAGTAGTAGTCGCCCTACTAAAAGCAGTACGTTCCGACCTTTCCAGCCTGGACCTCGTCCTAACTTCTTTGACCCTTACTGCGAACGAAAACTGATTCCAGACGGGGTACATGTGCCCCACCTCACTCGTTTGAGGAGGCGCGCGATGCGCCATGAGATTTTAGCGGATATGGTCAAGGCTAATCCCCCTGATGTTTCCCTTGTTAGCCCCATTCCCTATATTTAGCCTTTAAACAGTTTTAATTGGCTTGATGACATGGCTGATGTGAATCGGTTTGACCATTATGTAGTGCGTGGTGGGAACGCTGCAACTTCTTTGTCGTCCCCCTCTCCGGTTGCTACTTCGAGCAGGATAGCCGAGTCTTCCAACGAGCGCGCCTTCTATGATTTCCAGCCTACTAATGTGATTGAACCCGTAAAAGAAGGCAAATCTGACTTCTTTATTTTATGATAAGTGTCATGGCCCCAAGAACTGCGTGTTGGATTATAAGGATGCCAAGAAGTTGGATCTTGCCACTGTGGAACAGAAGTTCTACGGGTTTGGCTGGTGTTACGAGTTAGTCTTTCCGGCTCAGGGTGCTAAATTATCTACTCCTCCTGCTGGTCATATTGCAGTCTTTGCTTCCCAACTAGACTTGGGTTTGAGGTTTCCTCTTGACCCCACCCTAGAGAAGGTATTTCGTGCTTTCAATCTCAGCATTGCTTTGATGCACCCTACATCGTTGCACACCTTGATATGCTTGCTTTGGATTCTGCGGTTTCGGAGATATCCTGAGTCTCTGCACCTGTTTAAGTCTTTGATGAGCCTTAAAAGGTCTTCCTCTGGTTCTGAGTCTGGGTGGTATTATGTGGCTCCCAAGGAGGGTATGGCTCTGTCTTACCCAAAGCTTGGTCGCTTCAAAGGACTGGACTGGCAAATTCTTTTGGGTTAAAGTGCCTTCCTCCTTTGTTGTGCCACACAATTTTCGAGAGATCTGCACTAATATGGCGTGGGTTACCGTTTCTCCCTCTGAGCCTGCTTGTGAGACAGGGGCTTTTGATGCCTTGTAGGGAGCGGGCACAGGTGATGCAAAGTTTTCCAAGATTTGGCAGCCTAATTCTTTGTACATGTAGGCAACAAGCAGCTCTCTACTATGCGTTTGTGCTCTACTCATGAGCTTGGTAGGTTTTGTTTTCCTTTATTGCATGTTTTTTAAGTGTTTTTTTTTCTTTTTGCTTTTGTCTGCATTGCGTCCTTATGCTTTTTGTCCCCCTTTTTCCTTTAGCTGTCTGATATTCAGGTTATGACAAGCTGGATAGGCGTATTCTTGGGTTGGCTGACAATTGGAAGGACCCTCTTATTGCCACCCTTGATAACCCTCTAGAGCTCTTTGAGACCCTTGAGGTTTATGCTGGCTCTTTAAAGAAAGAGGTGCGCTTGGCTCCAGCTGAACTGAGGGCTGTCTTTGGTACTGTGACTGATACTGATCGTGCAGGTCCAGCCGTCAGCGAGAGACTCGACCTGCACCTAGGAAAGTTGCTTCAGGGTCTAAGCCATTCATCTCCTGAGAAGTGACTTGCTGCGGCTTTCGGCCAGGAGGCACCTTATACCTCTGTGGCAAATGAGCCACTAAACCAAGCTTTTGATGATTCGAAAAAAAAATGCTGATGACTTCGCTGATAG